TCTCTTTAGATCATGCACCTCTATAGGTGGTACACATGTCTGTTTTTTCACGCCTGAACATGCAGGCGGGATTTCGGCAGTAACCTGTGTTGCGGGTCGGAACGTTCAAAGCAACAACAGGATCAATCGAGCGGCTTCTCTGAGACCTGAAAAGTGCAGTAGGTAGTTTTTTAGCAGAGACAAAACAAGAATCACAGAAAGCATAAAAGTTTTCAAAGGAGAAGTGCAGCCTCGCAGTAGTAAAAGTAGGTTAGCAACTGGAAGGTTTTTGGCTCAGATCCCTCGAGGTAATGTGGCAGGTGCCCTTGACCGAGGCACTGAAGGCTGGCAGACCAACTGTGGTGATGCTGCCAACAGCAAGTGAACAGTGGTTTTAAAAAAAGTGCAGATGTCTCTGTTGTTGCTTGATAAATAAAGAATTTTAGGATCACTCGCTTATTTTTCCTTATTTTTCCCCCTCCTTGTCTCCATTACTTCCTCTGTGTCATTCTTGGACTTGTCCTCTTGTCATCTGACTTCCCTTCTTTTCCCTGTCTTGCGATATAACGTCCATGGTTGGTTGATTTGGGTGAGCGGGGGTGGGAACAGGAAAGGCTTCCACAGTTCAGGGCTCCAGAGAGCTCGGTCGGGCAGCAGCAATCAATCACAGGCTAAATCCCTCCTCTCTCAGGACGGCGGCGTGCCAGGTAACATGGTCAACAGCTGCAGAGAAATATTAAGCCTACAGCAGGTACCTGAACTTAAACACACTGGTAAACAAGGTCTCTGAAAGGTCTGCAGTTTGGAGAAACGTACCGAGTATAGCAATGTGCAAAAAAAACAAACAAAAAAAATCTCGCCAGGCAGTGCGTTGGCTGTTTGTTCAAATATTTGACGCCAAACTTTTTCATGCATGAAAATAATAACTGTCCTTACTTTATGTCAGCAGTAAAAGTACCAGGATAGGCAAAAATCTCAAGGTGGTCAGTTGTGGACACGAGAAAATTTACTTTTTTAAACTCTTTATCACACAAGTGTCGTAGAGGTCAGCAGGACTTATTTATGATTCTTCATCTTTAGGAAAGCATTTGAATTTCCCAGAGTGATTGAGGAGTCACAGTCATGTGAAGCGCACCTCGGAGCGGCTGATTTTACTGTCTGCTTGTCCCTGTGTTGCTTTGGTACACCGTGAACCTCCGTAAAGCTCCTCTCTTCTTTCCAAAACCCTTTGCGTTTTAGCACTAACGGTAACAGTTACAGTCGTTTGTAAAATGGGAAGCTTGTGTTATAATCCTGGATAACTGTTCTTTTTAAAGGTATACAAATGTTGACCCTCGGTTTGTGCTTCTCTTGCAGACGTGTCTAGAGTTGGAGCGGTATCTACAGACCGAGCCCAAGCGACTCTCGGAGCTCTTTGACGATGAGCTGGACTGCCTCTTAACGCCGGCGTTTATGCAGGGGGGTGACAGTGATGAAGACCTGATGGACCCCCTCCTTCCCAGCCTCCCTGACCAGCCCAGTCCACCTTCGCTACTTGTGACCCTCCCCAAGGTGCAGGCCAAAATCCTACACGTTCCCAATCCCAACAAGAACCAGACAGCAGCTGGGCCTGAAACCCTCACAGGCAAGGAGCAAGTCCTCGGAGGAGTCAGTGCAGCTCAGCTTAGCGCCGCTGTCACTTCCCTAACACCGCCATCATCACCGGAGCTTGGCCGACACCTTATTAAGCCCACACAGACGCTCACTGCAACAGCAGACGGCACATTAACGCTCAAACTGGTGGCAAAGAAGGTGGGATTAGGGGCGGCTAAGCTGGTAGCAGCGCGAGCGTTACCATCCCCACCAGGCCGAGGAGGAGCCCTCAGTGACAGCGAGCAGGGAGGGGCGGGAAGTCTGGCAGGAGACGTACCAGAGAACAAGAAGAGAGTCCACCGGTGCCAGTTTAATGGCTGCAGGAAGGTTTACACCAAGAGCTCCCACCTGAAGGCGCATCAGAGGACCCACACAGGTAAAACCTTAATTGCATTCCCAGGAATGCCACTAGTGTTTCTGATGAACTT